GTAAATGACTCGACTCAGTCCGACTTGAGTCACATTTTTAGCGGCTTAGCCCGGGTAAATGACTAGACAGTCCCGGTAAATTCAATGTTTACCTGTACTGTGCAGTTGACAATACTGTACTACACATACATCTAACTCCAACTTTATTGAGGTATTTCACATTAGCGCAGCCTGCGCATATTTACATCGAAACCGAGGCTCTCTGTCGCGCCTGCCCGTGGACTCGACAGAGTACATGCAGCATACATGCAGATACACGACCATCACTGGTACGTTAGTTCGCGGTAAATTGCCCTTATTTTTAAAGATGTTAGGAATCTTACATTTTGGCTGCATACACATATCTCTAGATTAATGTTGTGTGAAATTGCTGTCTGTCGGTGAAATTATCAGGATACTACCGTAAAATGTTGCTCCTTTCGATCTTTGATTTTTTGTCTAGAGGTGTGCAATGCATGTGACTACCAGCAAGCTATTGTCCATTTTCAGAAGAAATTTTATGTCGACAAAATTGTTCACAAATGTTCAGTCGCATTTACCATAAAAGAATAAGTCTCAGTATGTAACCGGATGAAATCTAGGCTTTTCGGCAAACAATTAGTATGAGGAAAGTCAAAACTCAAGGTTTTCAACGTTTCCTCGCTACGGGGAGTAACGTTATACATGTAATATCGATGATCACGTCAACTCTCAAGCCGCACGTCTAGTCATCTTAAAAGACCCTTCCACAAAAGTCTGCAGCATTGAACAGTCTAAATTTAACCTACCTCCATATACGGTATTTTGTGTCATAACTCTTTACTTTCAATCGTCTGATTGTAACACGACTAAGAATCATATTTAGTAGGCACAATATCCTTTTGTGGTAGACAATGCACACCAATTGTGTATATCTCGCGGCGCTGTTGCCAAAGTGCGTGCGAAGCTGACAGCTGCAGCCTCATTTACAAACGCGGGAGAGCGCTGATCGACGCTAAACGCGTCGTATTGGGATCCCGACCGTCTGTTGTCCTTCCTCTGTGTTACAACAGACTACGCCAGGCTCGACCTGCATACAAATTCCTCCAAGATTTGATAAGGGCATATTACCCGCTTACAGCAGAACTTACTGTTTTGCTTTGGTATTGGTTTGGCTACATGTAGTTAGCCCAGTGTTTACTTTTAATATTGTTTCGAACTTCGACTCGACTGATAAAAATTAGTGGCTCATGTGGTTTGTTTTTGGCAGTCGCTCCTCCTAAAAACCAACACCTTTCTCTACGCTGAAAAACATCANATTATACACGCATGGCTCCGCACCATATCCATGGCGTATCACTTTGAGATGTGGAGCCCCTTCCAGGAATTCTTCCACAGGTGCCTGTCTGTTGGTAGCCTGACCAAGTGGGACCATGTCGTGTGTGAAGGTTATCTCTCCATCTTGTCTTTGGGCGGACTGGTCCATTCCCTTACTGTCCAATCTGTCACCCTGGTAGTCCATCTTGTAATAACATGTCCCGCCCATCAGTGGTTTTTATTTTGTGTGTGTGTGTGATTTGGTCAATGGTGTCTCTGACCTCTCTTTGCTTGCGAATGAAATTTGCGAATGTATTGTAGGCTCTAGAATATCAAAGGAATACGAGAAGTAAGGTTTGAAGCTTTGCATGGTGGATGAAACATGAGAAATGGGTTTACGTGCAGGTACACCAGGGAATCAATCTATTTTGGACGAGGTGTGGTTTTTAAAAGAACCAGTGAGTATAAACTCGACAATTCGGCCAGTGTGCTCTGGCCGTCCTCAGGAGAGTGTGCCTGAGTGGATATCTGGTTATGAAAGTAATCCAGAAGCGGTGGAGCGTGGAACAGTATTTGCGGGCTGTGTGACTCAGCTGTGCGGTGTTGCGTGAAGGTGTTGGATCTTGGAACCGGCGGGAAACCTTGACCAAAAGAGGTTGATTCCATGGTGTACTCGCAAACCCATTTTTCACAAATACGAGACGGTTGTTTTTATTCTTTTGATATGTGTCGGTCGGCCCAATGGCCGTGTGTCAGTAACTCGACTCAAGAGCACAACATGTTCAAAAGTGTGTAATGCAAGGGTATTTTTCTCCAACAACCTGGCAATTCTTTTAACGGCACTGAAAAATGGATAGCACTTTGTCTGATACTGTGTCCTTTGGCGTGAATTCTGCAGTCAGGGTTACTATCAGGAGCGCTATAACTGCTTAAAAGGCCGGTTTCATCCAAGCTTTGATGATTTGATTGTACCTGTGCTTGTATGCTCCTGAAAATTAGGGAAATGCAACAGCTAATCGGTTCAGCTTCGGATTTTAGTCATCATGAATAGCGTCCCTCAAACCGTTTTAGGCCCCCAAATTTTGGACGGTCCCAAATATTTCGAATGCTTCAGGCAAAACGGAAGGGTCGTCGGTTTGTGGTCAGAGGTTGGCTCAAAATGTGGTGCAGTGACACGTGTGTTTTTTGCCTGACTTTTTTTCCAAAGAATGTACGCATAACTGGTGATGTCCATCGCCACTGCATGCGTAGGGGTACGTAGCACTGACCGCTACGACCACTAAAATAGACTGACCCCCTCACTATGTACTGTTTAAAAGCGTTTTCAGTTTGTAGAATCACACAAGACACAGGGAACCTGGTTTGTATGGTTCCCAAATCTAGATGTATCATACTGAAATGACTATATCTGGAAAAAGTGCCTGACTAAATGTATAGGGGGCCCAGAGGGAATACTTTACAGTAGGTAATTACTCAACCGCATCATATCTAAAATAAAAGTATGAAAACACGTTAAAAATACACAGTAGCATGATTCCTGTTGACCAAGCAGGTTTGGCAGCTTTTAAACACCGATTATTTAAAATAAAAAAAATAATTTCCCAGCACAAAAGTCTACGCTGACGCGCACACTGAACAGAAACAAGAGACCTTTTTTTTCTGACACTAAGCGAGGCGACGAACCCTCAGTAAACTATTGGTTAATAAAACACTACAGAGCTCATATTCTTGGCATTTTTGATGATCACTCTCCAGTCGCACTCAATGCAATTTTCTCTGTGCCGCAATTGGACTTGCTCAGGATTAAATCGTACACATGTTCGATTCTTGCGTATTCATCATTTTTTTGCTTCCACCTGTTTCTTCACAGATGAGATCGAAATTTACAACCCCCATCCTGTTCGCGTATTTTCTGTGGGTCATCTGCCGTTCTTCACTTGCTCAAACTGATGAACATTCACCCTCATCTTCAACGGGGTCGTGCTGTGGTGCTTGCTATCAGGGTCCAGCGGGAGCAGCTGGCCAGCCGGGAATTCCAGGCGTTCCAGGGCAAAATGGCCTGCCGGGTTCAATAGGCCAGAAAGGCGAGCCCGGAGTGGGTCTGCTTGGACCCAAGGGGGACACCGGCAATCGCGGTCAGAAGGGAAACCAGGGAGAGCTTGGGGTTCAAGGACTCATTGGCCAGCCAGGGAAGCTAGGACCTACCGGGCCCAATGGCGAGAAAGGAGAAAAGGGAGGAAAGGGTGAGCCTGGAGAATCGACTGACGTCACCCCAACACCACCATCTGTCGTCGCTTTCAGCGCATTCTTAAGTGGTTCCTTCTCAGGAAACAGTGGGGATGTCATCATCTTCCCCACAGTCACTACAAACATCGGGGACGCGTACGATTCCGGTAGTGGAGTATTTACCTGCAACGTGGCCGGTGTTTATTTCTTTAGTGTGACTCTAATGAGCTACAACTCAGGACCAACGCTTTTTGCGATCCTTAAAAAGAACGGCACCCGTATCTTTTATGTTTATGACAACCATCCGAACTACCACCACCAGTCCAGTAACTCAGTGGTCCTCATGCTGGCTATCGGGGACACAGTTCTGCTTGAGAATGGGAGAACCAATGGAAGAATCAACGGCGGTATTTACTCTTCCTACTCCGGTTTTCTGATCCAAACCTTGTAACCTACCGACAGGAATTCTAGGTATACTTAATCGGAAGACGTGGTAGAGGAATGAGAATTGGTGGATGTCACAGAGCTAACGCTAGTGCCGCTCCACTCAGACTAAAAATCAAGGAATAACTGAGACGAAAAGAAGATAAAACACAACATGTGCAGCACACAAAGATGAATGGTTTATTTCAAGAGAGGAATGAGGTAAACTAAGTATTTACACTTCCATATCAGTCAGTCAGCCAAGTGGGAGTACGTTATGAGATTATCCCGTGAGCAGGAAAGTGGCTGAAGATATTACACAGCAACGAAATTAATACAATATAAATTTTCCACAGCTCTTTTAAATACCATATAAATATTCCTGTTGAAGGTTCCATGAAATAAATTTTTCTTAAAATCACTTATTATGTGTATCTGTACTCTTTTTAAGTGTATGAAGGACGCTTTTCCTTTGATGTAAATCAAGGAAGACATGGTCCAGTTTGCATGGTTTCCTGTATAAACTCCAAATATTCAATTTGAAAACATTCATGTGAAACGGTTGCTTTCTTACTTGTTGCCAAATACTTACACAACAATAAACTGCCAAAGGAAATGAAGTCTACGATAGTAGGGTTTACAAATGATTGTATTCTTTGCACAAGTAAGTGCAACAATGAGGCTTGGTGCCTTGGATGACATCATAGATTTGCTCATGGATATGGAAATGTGCATTAGCATATAACCAAAAAAACTCCCAAAAAATCGTTAAAACTGCAAAACAAATTTTAAAAGTTCCTATTTTCGTACAGTCATATCAATAACGTTTCTGAACTAGCTTAATTCTGCAGCTATCTGAGTCTATAGGATTGGATAGTTTATTACAGGTTCACTTTTCACCGCACTTGAAGACTTGTGTAAGAAAGGCAAATTCAAAAAAAAACAAACCAAAAAACAAAAAAAACCCGAAAATCTACTAGACGAAAATGAGAAAATGGGGTTGTTCTCTTTTGGAGCATGACAGTAATTTAGCAAATGGGAATTTTAAGTTTGTAGTTGTCCACTAGAGTTGTTCAAGTAAAATCCGAATTTTTACTAGCTGAAATGGCATTTTTTCCTTTTTTTTTGAAAATGCTTCACGCAAAGTCAAAAATCCCCAAATCCTTCTTGCAGAAAAGGAGAAAATGGGCTTGTCTACGTTTGACGCCCCATAAATCCCTTGGTCACAGTAGGATACTTTTTTGTTTCAAAATACACATATTTGGGAGAACAATTGTGCGAAGAAAGTCCTAGATTGGTGGAAGTATTTCAATTTATCGACAGAGGACGTACAACCTTTTGCCAGCTGGGTCTTGGGGAACAGAGGCCTGTCTATGCACTCGGTCTGGGGATGAGGTGAACTAGAATTTTTTCCCATCAACGTCCAAAAGGAGAGAGAGAGAATAAAAAACCTTCTGGGACACCCACACTATGTTTGGAAGTATTGGCATACGAGGTTTGTCGATTAACCATGGCCAAAGGTTGATAAAAGATTTTATTACATGAAAAAAAAACCCAGACATTAGAGACAAGCGTTTGCAGTGTGACTTGCCATGTCATCAGTCGTTACAATTTCAGTGACTTGTGTTTCAACTGCCTCAAATGCTCAAAGTAAACGTATATAAAAAATTGTTTTGTGTGTAGGTAGAATTCGGCAAATTACGCGGGGGGGGGGCTGTCTGATCTCGAAAGATAAACTGATTGGAGTTGATGACAATAGTATTAAATAAAAAAAAAAGTCTTATGACAAAAAAATGTCTAAACCCTCCGCTGCACAGGACCGATTTTTTTTTTATGTTAATGCTCGGACGCTGTCACATGAGTATCAGCTGAATTCACTGCACAGAGCCTATACTTTTTACACTTGCACCAAGGTGATCGTTTTGAGATCGCTTCCGTTATAACCACAAAAATGTGACACCCCAACACAATGAAACTACTCAGACAGCTGTCTACAGCTCAGAGACACATAAGAACGACCGACCATTGATATAAAACAGGCCCAGGCTTTCCAAGGCTTGCCCAGGCACTTTCTTTGTCAATAACCCCTTATCAGCACGTGCTTTAGATATTTACATACAATCCCCGTGGGACGTGGCTGGAGGCGGGCTCTGGAAAAGAAAGAAAGAAGCTCAGGGGAAGTCCCCATGTTAAAAGTGACTAAACTAGGCTGTTCAACATCTACAGAAATGCAAATTAGCAGGAGGTTTTTGCATTTGGCCGAATTTTTTTTTAATTATCTAATTACAAAAGAGGGGATAATCATAGTAGCCATTCTGATCTGTGCGAGGTAAAAGTACAGACCATTCCTTGCCCCTTTGTGGTACCCTGTTTAAACAATCGGTCATAAACTTCGTACAGATGTTTATGACATGACATGGGCTAGTTCCTAAGCCGATTGGCGTTTGAGGGTTCCACTGTTGGTCGCATAGTCGTGACTTATAACAGAATCGGATGCGGCCTGACGGTTGCTACCCTCCACTAAAGCCTGTTATCAGCTAGGTCTGTTTGTACATAGGATTGAGACCTTACTCTTTGATAATGTAACCTTGAAGCAGTACATGAAATCAGCTACCATAACCTGAGCGTAGCAAACACCAGCACTCGGGAGCATAGTGTAAGCTAGACTTCAGTGATTTTTGCGTTATGGATAGTTCCGTTGCTCAAGCAAAGAGCGGAATGATTTTCCTTACGGTCCTAACAGCGCTTTTGCTCGGAGTGGATGGAGATACCAACAACACAAATAACAAAAAAGGTAAATTTTAATTAAACTTACCATGCTTATTCTCTGTGCTCATTTCAAAGGGATTTGTTTAATTTAATGAATAGAACAACAGAAGCATATAAAAAGGGCATACAAAAAATCTCGTAATTTGTAAATTAAGCTTTGACTAACGACTTTGAAGTTGGACGTGAGAGTGTCACAAAGTTTATCTTCTTTTTTGTCTTTTAAGTTTATTAAATAAATAATCACGTAAGAACAAGTGAAAACGGTTAAAAAGCAGTGAGCGAGAGGAGGGGGACGCTAATTACGACGCTTCCCCTACAACTGATCGCCCCTACAACTGTTTTCAAGAAAGGAAAAAACCTTATCTGGACTTAGTTTACTCCACACGAGTTTCGCACAACCTCGATATTAGGTGTACACATCTAAAACCAAATTACCTAAGGATGTTGAAAACGTAATCTTGAATCCCAATGGGAATCGAGAGGATACAAACTGAACGGCAATAGTTAAATGCAGGAATGAGGACAAAGAATGTAGCTGGTCTCAAAAAGCCCTAACAATCTGCAGCAATGGAAAGGCCGAGAACTAAATAAAAGTTTATGTTCTGAAATGGGGTAAAAACGTTTTTTTAACTAGTAATTCAGTAATTGCCAGAATCTGTTACTTTGAACCTAGGAGCATGCCTGATAACAGATTAATGTTGGCATACTAACGGTTTTAACAATACTGACTACAAAGTTGTATGTGTTTTTTTTTGTAATTTTACGGAGGGATGTGATTGAAGTACTTCTGAGCAGAAGTAACATGACTTACAAATAAATGTCAAATCCCTTCTCCGAGCAGAAGTAACATGACTTAAAAATAAATGTCGACTCTCTTACCAGTACTGACTAGAAATATTGTATCAGTAGAGTAATCTTGGGAATTAATTTAAGTTGTAAGAAACTTACAAAGCATTGCAATTTTACGGAGGAATAAAATGGAATTAGTCCCATTCAGAAGTAGTAAATCTAAAACCCCTCGCCCTCAAAGTACTGATCGAAACAAATACCCATTTGGAATTTAAAAGGTTGATGGCAATTGATGCTCTGATCTTCAATTCGCCCACAAAGTACTGATCTAGACAAATACCCATTTGGATGTTAAAAGGTTGATGGCAATTTATGCTCCGATCTTCAATTCGAAAACATTCTGGTTCAAAGTCTAAACCCATTGTAAGCATGTCTATCACAGCAATGATCACTTTGTTACGTAATGACTGTTGTATATGAAGCAAGAAATGAAATCCGCCCATGAAATTACGGTGAAGTCCTCATCAGACAGATAACAAAATCTTAATCCGAATCGAACACAGTAGATAATCAAAATACACAGGGGCAATATCCAACATCTCTTTTGATGTGTTGAGAATTTTGGTTGCAACATCTAAATCCCATCAATATTGGTTAGGTTTGACCGAAGCAAGGCGTTTACAGTTTGCAATGTACTTCGCTCGTACTACCATTCCAGAGACATAATAAGCTGTTTCATTGCATTTTGCATGTTTGTTGTCAAGCTCTCTGTAAATATGCAAAATATGAGTAGTACAAATACTTCTTTGTATTTTATTTTTCACTCTACTTATATTGTACAGGCGACTGACCTGGTAGAGCTCCCTCTTTCTACCAGCATGTATCATCCATTATTTCTATTTCATCCGAATTATATAAAATTGTATTATTATTATTTTCTGAAATGAAAAAAGAGAGAAAGAAACCAAACTACCATTTTTTGCCCCAATGATAATATTGACGTAATTCCTTCTGCGCAACGCGTGCTTGCGTCTACAGATTGTTCAGATTGTTCAATGTGCTTTCGTACAAATATACAAAGTACAAATGCGAAGCACGAATGCAAAAAAAAATCAATTAATCAAATCATATCAAATTAAATAAAAAATAAAATACGACGCACTATCAATTTGAATGACAACAACACAGTCCACTGGGCAGTTGCTCCGTGGAGGAAAGAAAGAGACGCTACACTGGTAGAGTCCCAACAAATCTCGATTTTCATGTAGTTGCTTATTTCATTTCAATTAGAATAATTCATCAGAGATGTGGCATTGTCATTTGTGGTCTTCAGGATAATTTCAATGTTTACCGTGTAATGCATTTCGTTCAGGATGTCTAGGTCTATTTCCTGTTACTTTTAACATGTTGGGAAAAGGTGCACGCTGTACTGTTTGATGTCAAGGTGTTGAAAGTTAGACTGCTAAATGAGTGATCACGTTTGTACCAGAGCAAATCAAAAACGCATTATTTCTACAGTGTTGCTATTTGTCAACGTAGAACATGGTTCTGGTTCTTTTGGTTACAGCTGTGTTGACTTTGCCCTTAACTGCGAATCAGGGATTATATAACAGCATCTTCACCGAGCTGGATGGTATAACATATCAGGCACAAATTCCTAGTCTTTTGTCGGCAACCAGCGACCCTGGTAAGTATAAATTTGCTTCTGGTTGCATCTCGGTGCACTGGCAAATTAAAAGATTCCATTTTTACACACTTGAATGCCCTTTTCAGTAGTAGCTTGGCTGAATGATTATGCATCTCTACCTTGTATGTAAAGTTGGCGAACAATCTGAATTTGTTCCCAGTCGTTGTATCCCTTCACTGCGGAACGACACAAATTCTAGGCTATAACACTGTGGCGGTGTGGTTGTTTACCTGAGCCTAACCTAAGTTTGAAGATCAAGTCTGAAACCAGTTTGGGTCTCGACTCTAGCCTAACCTTGGGTTCCTCTACGGTCCAGAGATCACTCTAAGCGACCTAACGTCTGAGGGAGCAGATCCGTTTTGGTGGAAATACACCGCCCATTTTTATGACTTTAATGCTCTCTGCCAATTAACCAATTCAGAACTGTAAGGACACCTGACAATTGAATAACCTCAGCAACAACTTAGTTTATTCAGACATTCGACGAATAATTGATTGAGTGATTAGGGATAATTCGTATTGGGTAAGCTTTATCACAACCTTTATTGCTTTGCGTGGTATTGAGGGGAGGCTATCAGCAATACACACTTATCGCACTGCGTCGCGCCAATTACCAACGCAATGACTACTGCCGCCTCGCCAACTCCAATATGCAATGCACAAATCAATGGGTTGTAGGAATAAAATTAGTATTTCCTTTTACTACAGTTTTGTAAGTATTTTTATGGGTTTTATGAATAATAATGAAGCAAACGCTTTTACTTTAGTGCAATTGCTAAAATACAAGTATTTACTTTTTACTCTTTAAACTTGTTGTTGACAATAAGCAGTTGCTTCAATTTTTATAAATAAATATGAGTGTGTTCTACAGAATTGGAATAATTTTTTTCAAGACTGGGTCAGGGCAAGCTTGAAAACGAGGAGCATTTACTAATTTCAAAATGGCATTGTTCACGAATGTAATTGGAAAGGAAAAGCTGTATGTCTTTAGGGGGGAATTTAAAGAAGCCAGATGCAGGCAGATGTACTGATTTGAGAGTGGCAGAGCACTTTTCTTCATCAAAGTTTTTTGCTTTCAAAATTATTACCATGGCGCTTATCGGCCATGCTGAGGTCTCAAGATACAACACCGTGCTGCACTCTGTGTGTCTGTACATGCAGACAATGGAAGCCCTGTTGTGCAATACCGTTCGGCATATCCCCAGTTTAACACGTACTACACAATCAGCTCTGTGTAGCTATTTTTTTCCACTCTCCTGAGTTATATTTGATACCTGTACGCAGAGCCATCTATACATGCACAAAAACGATAAAGCCAAGTACCGTCCACGGTACACTGCGTCGTGTTACATGTACACGCGTACGGCGGCGTACATGCGCATATACATCTTATGGAAATTTTCGACGAAGCTGGTGTGGGTGTACATGTTCATGTGGTTCACGCATGTATAGTAGTTGATATTCTGGCCTGTCGTGTGCAGTGTCTCACAATTCTAGGAAAACTTCTAGAATTGAGAAATTTAGTGGAAGAAAAGACCAAGTGATCGATTGAAAATGGAAGTAATTTATCATCTTAGCAACCACTTTGAAGCTAAAATTCATATTTATGCAGCATTTCTTTTCATGATTTTACAGTGTTTTATTCGGTTTAAGCTTTCTCAAAAGAGTTACAAAGAGTTTCATTGTGATCTTTGGTTAACTTTGGGCAAATGAAGGATTCCAAACGAGAAGGCTCAACGGAAGATTGGCAAGTTAGGACAAATCTGTATGTCTAACGAGGGTCTGATCAATAATCCGCTGCGCACGTTCGAAGTCTTAATTTCCACACGTGAAATGGGGGTTAAACATACGTGACATGTAAAGGCCGTAATTTTGGCCGTATTAGCTAATCTATGAATGTACCTTTTCGTTATAGTTCTTGCTGTTATGAGTGTATACGATGCACCGAACGACGAGGAAACACTGGTCGTAATCGGCCTTGATTCCGATGAACCGATTCGATTCGGCAGTGCAGTAGTTGGCTTGGACGTGGTTACTGCCAGCCGGGCCTATTACGCTGACTTCAATGAATTTCCAATAGTGGTCACCTTTCCACGTTTACAGGTCAGTTCAACGTCAGCATCTATTGGAATACTACATTTCTCCTTACTGAGAGACGTAAGTATAATTATACAAATTACAGCTTGGCAGGGAAAACCGTTCGTTTGGATTCTTCTAAGCTCGTAATACTTTCTGTATTACCACTAACTGGAAACGGCTGTTCGCTGTCCCTGACCCACACTGTCAAGAGTAGTATATTACATTTGCGTCGGAAGCCAAAAAAGTTGTACTGAATCAATCGCACTTTATATAAAAAAGGAAAGAAAACAAGTTTTGTTTTTTTCTGTTTGATTTCATTACTTTTATACGTTTTCTAGGATAAGTCAGTTTAGGAAGGCCGTTATAAAAACAGTGTTACATCTCTTGTGAGGGTCAGTACTTAGTTGTCCGTAGCTTTCCTTCATTTTGTACGTACTCTTTTTCCCTCAGACCTCTTTAGACGAAGGTACCCAATGCATCTCCCAAACGCCAGATGAGATGTGAGTTGTCACATTTTTTATTTCATATCCTAGTGTGTGCTTAGCCTAAGTATGAACAATCTTTGTTTTCCGTAAAACACTCAAGGATGATTTTATAAGGGACAGTGAACTGGTTTAAGATGTAAAATCTTCATCAAAGGGGTAAAAGACATTGACAGCACACGGGCGTGAGGGCACAGATGTCTCTACCCTCTCCACCATTTGGCATTCGTACACACCAGCAACAATCTACAGTATTTTTGTTTCTAACTGCAGCATTATCTTTTAACTTAATTCCTAGTTCTGTTCAATGGTTTGATGCCCCAATATATATTTATTCTTCTTTTTGGATATCATTTTACGGCATGATTTACACGCCCTATTATTTGGTTTAAGTTTGGTTTCACTGGCATCACCAATGGCGACGAAATGTAACAAGCAAATGGTCCCCAAAAGAGTTTTTTACAGCTGGAAATGTTTGACATCAAAAGGCTCTCTTTGTGCCGCCTCTTTAGAATATCTATCTGTTTTGCCACACTTTACTGCGATTATTCTGCATTTTGTGTTTGTTTGTGTGTGTGTTTTTTTTTGGGGGGGGGGCTTTGTTGTTGCTGTTGTTTGTATGTTTTTTTTCGTTACCCTTAATTTGTTCGTGTCTTTTGGCCATCCGTTTGTTAAAACCGTTACCGTTTTGAAAGGAGTGGAAGCATACTTAGAGATTTAAACACACTTTTGATTCTGTCCAGTGGGGGGACACCGTGCATCAGGGGCCGACTGTAAATTGTATTCAGCTATTAAGCTGAATCAGAATACGACAGCGAAGACGCGGCGAAAAGCAATAGTCAACAAATCCCATAGTCAACTGAAATACTGAATCATATTTTTTTCAATCTGTTATACTTGCTCCATTGTTACCTTTTCCTTGCTGGATTCATGTCGTTTAAAATATATAAGCCTAAAAAAATAAACACATAAAAACAGTATTATAAAATAACAATAAACCTAAATAGGTTTATTATTATCTTATGGAGGTACAAAATGGGGATCTCAAACGGTTTATAAAGGATTGTAAATGTCATACTTCAGTTTTTCCTTCTCAAACCTTAACCTAAAGAGAAAAGGATCCACTGCCCAATTTTTTTCAAATATGGCTGCGTCTGTCCTACAGCATGTGACAGTTTTGCTATGGAGCATGTGCATCCCCTCAAAACCTGCCAATAATATATATCTAAAGTGTGATGCATCCCGCACAAAATTCCAATCAGGTACTGGTATTCAGATGGCTGTCAAGTCACAAGAACTACCAACGATGACGTCGCTTGTAGTTGCAACCAGTTGGCCAATTATGCTGTGTTGTTACAACATAAGGTACTTGCAGACACATTTGTTAAATAATACCTCATCACACGTTTAATTTGTAACAGATATATGTATGAAATGTTTGAATGTTTAAATTAATGATGGAAAGTCATTATGGGTATGATCTATGCTCACCAAGAGCTTGTAGCGATACACACCACTATCGTGTTGTAAATGTTTGGTCATTGTTCTGAAATTCTTGCTGCGTGGCCCAATATACATGTGTAGGAAATCAATGAATATTGATACAATTTGCTGTTCGTAGGACACAGCCGGCTCTATAATTATGGATCCTTTCACACTGTTGGGCCTTGCCTTGTCTGTTTCCAGTCTTGGAGTAGTTCTGCTTACTTACAAATATTCTCGGTGAGTATAGCCCCCCCCCCGATTTAGATTTCAAAAGAGTGCAAAAAAAAAAAAATAAAAAAATAAAAAAGTGGGATTTAACATTTTCAGGGAACTTCCCTGAGTTAACAATATGACTATTTTATATCTTACATAAGTGAATAAAACTATACATACTAGACTAATTTAATTACCCTTTTGCCGGAAAAAAGAGACACCCTATCCGTTGTTTAAATTTCACATCCCATATAGGCTCAGTTGATATATATTTCAGATCCCAGGTACGTTACTCTGTCCGAAGTACTTGTAGGGGGATACACTAACTGGGAAACATAAGGTAAATATTAGACAAACGTAGTGTCCAAAATTGCAGCTGATTTTTTTTTTTAAGATCAATCATATAAACACTGGTAATTTCTTATTTTCAATGTTCATAAATTTTGTTTTATCTATAACAGTGTATTATGTAAAAACTAAATAACGATTGCTACGTCAAAAGCACGAGTTGAAGTCCTCCTTCTTATTAGGCAAACTGAAAAATTGAAGCCTGCTTTGGTGATGTTACACTAAGGTTCTGCAATGAAATGACTGTTTTTTTTATTTCGGACGGCGCCAAGGCGACCGCGTGCATGAGCGCTGTGCTTGCTCGCACTTTGCTGTGAATCAATTTATGTCGGACAGTGACAAACGAATCGCTTTTCCGTCGAGCGTTGATAAACACTGGATCGTATGATAAACTTGAGCCTTCCCAGTTTGAATTATAGTAAATGAATTTTGGGCAGATGGTTGTGGTCATTTGGTGATAATGAATTCTGATTTACTGTCCACGTTTTTTCTCTGCTTTTGTTTTATAAAGGCCCTTATAACATACGCCACAAGGTAAAAATAAATAAAAAAACAAACAAAAACACCGGGAAAACAAGAGCCATATTATGAAATCATCAAATCGCTAGATTTGTTTGCCGCCCTCGTTGACAGTATCCTTTTTTTATTCTGAGCATTCTTGAAGTGGAACTGAGCTCCCAAGCAGGCGATTTTTAATTAATCAGTCAGTCCATGGACTCACAAAAAGGTGCTTGGTTCCTTTGCTATGTACGTATGCACGTTTCTGTGCTTGTGACCATGTCTTGCATATTCAAGAAGAGAGCGTCAAGATTCGACGGATTTCGCTGCTACGAGGAACGACACTGCCAAAGTGTAGACTTCTGTAATACAGCTGAAGAACGTATCTTTCATTAGATATTAATTTAAAGCGCATCCAATGAAACAATGTGGTAAAATGATGCCATAATTGTTGTCCCAAAACACAAGATACTTGCATACGTAACTGCAGCTATAATTTCCTATTTTTAATTTAATTTAGATTCTGCAGAAAGTTCAGTCTATGACCTAAAAAATGTATATTGTTATCCACAAATTTCTTTAGCTGACTCAGGGGACAACCCTTTTGAAGGGACATGAACTTTTTGGCCATTGATTGGTTGACGAATTTTGTCACAAATTATGTGCATACAGAACCCAAAACTAAGACTCGGGTTATATAAACCTAGGCCCCACCGCAAGTGAGATTTGTTTTTTCTTTAAGCATTAATCCCCAAGCACAGTCAGCCGTTTGATGTGCGATATATTGCAAAGGAGTCCCCCTTCTGCGTCTTCTTTTGTGTTGACGGAATCTTTGAAATTCCTTTCAGATTTCCTGGGGGTGCAGTAGCCACAATAGTCTAAGGTATATGACTTGCCCATCACGTTAGGGAGTCCCCCTTTGCCACATATCGTGCTGGATATACAGTCAAACAGTGGTACGTACATGTACAATGTACGCTCCAGCCTTATTGTCCGTTACGCAACGTGAGACGGGCCAACTGTGAGACGGTTTGATTCCCCAACAAAAAGGAAAACTTTTGCACAAAAGGTGCAGCATAGAAATCATACGTTGCGTCGTATCATCCCTTACATCGCATTAATGGTCGTTTCATACTTTTTCAGCCTGTCATAGAAGTTCCAGTAATTGATTTTCAGCTGGGTCGGACCTAGCGACAATACGTCTAAACATTTTCAACAAAACATAACCTATCTTTAATGTTCCTAACTGTTTCTAGTACCTCACATAATGGACAAACTAGATATCATTCCGTTCAGAAAATCGTACTCTATCTACTCACCACGCCATCTACAAGGATTGTGTTTTGACCTCATTATAGCATGCATGCTATAATGTATAGAGTGCCAGTCGCAAGTCGGTCCTCAGTTTTGTTTAAAGGGTTACAAACTCAAGAGGGATATCGAGTACCAGACTTGCTGACCTTAGCCCCGACGTGAATGGCAGCAGTTGAATCATTGCCAGTTCCAACCCTAAAAAAAGCATTGCTTGATCCGTCGATGTGGATCGTTGGTCCACTACAAAGACCCATTGACGGATCAAAGTCTCCTAAAATAATGTTGCAGTATTCGCCAGACGGCAAGCCCGTCTTGAGGGTCTGTAAGAGTGGGTAATCTTCATTATTGATGACGACAAAAGCTTTGTCACCCCGACCAAAGGCAATCTGCCGGTTACCATTGTTCCACCAGTTGGTGAGCGGCTGCCCAGCTGCAATGTTCCGGAACCCAACCATGTTCTTGATTGATCTCCAACGATGCTCACACACCCAGCCCTCCTCACATGCACCGTTTTTGTTAACAGTAACTGTTAGGGTGTGTCCTTTCATGTCTGACGGAGGACCAGCTTCGGTGTCATTGAAGTCGAAGCTACTCATAATCCGGGTGATGCCATACGGATAAGCCAGCATGAAGACGTTACACATCTTATACTGTCGAGGCTCCTTGAAAGTAATGACGCCTTGTCCTCCCCCATGCCCTCGCTGGTTGTCGTGATTATCGACAAAGACCAAGGCAAGGGAATCAGGGAGCATATCCAAAGATCCAATCAAAATCTCAATATTGCTTAAATTTCCTGGATTGCTGAAAGCCTGTCCCAATTTTAACCCGTACTTGAATTCGGTCACTCTCCCGTACGCTACGTACTCTTGCCCCCACATCTTCCCGTTAACACCCTTATTGGTAACTTCCTGGAAAATGAACGGCCGGCTCCCCCTTGGGAAGAATGTCTCATTCAAATTCTTTAGCTTTGCAAGAATCTCACCAAGATCATGCGGCCAAATGAATTTGGCAGCATCGACGCGAAATCCAGCCACACCCATATCAATCAAGCGGTTCATGTAGGCAGTAATCCTAGATTTGACGTCATCATGAGATGCATCAAGGTCAGGTAGACCCTCCAACCTACAGTTACGAATCTGGCTGATATCTGTAAAATCCTCCACATTACCACTGTCAGATCTGCATTCGCCATTGGGGCTACCGAAATGTGAGCTCGTGTAAGGTACCCCCGGGTAGCTCAGTACTTCAACGTCATACCAGCTTTGCGCTATCCCATAGCCCGAATCTGTGGGCGTGATTAAAAATGTCAACATTTGCGATAGACTTATTTTGCGTCGTAAAAGAAGATTTGCATTTAACCGACGTTTTGAACGTAAAATAACAACAACAAAACAACAGCATCTTCCTCCAGGCCGAATTACCACGTCCTACAAACTACTTTTTATAGAGACTTTCACAATACCGGCATGTACATAAAGTACCAATGTTGGAGTAACGGTAGCGTTCTCGTCTCCTATCAGAGCTTGAAATTTAATGACTCCGTAACATTTTTTGAAAAGCAACATAGACGTTTTAGACCTACCTCCTCGTGCCATGTGATTTATAACAGCATCTGCGTAGATCCTTACACCGGCGTCATTACATCTTTGTATCATATTTCTCAGTTGTTGCTCGTTACCAGAGCGGCTTGTTAGTTTGTAGCTGACAGGTTGATATCGCTCCCACCACGGACGCCAAGGTTGCCAGATTGCACGGTGCTCGTTAGGTGGTGAGATCTGAACCCCTCCGAATCCGTGTGGTCCAAGGTACCTTGAATAAACATTGCACTGCATACACTATTTAGCTCATGCTTCCGCGATGTATCATACAGATTCATTGATTTCCCGAGATGCTACGATAGCTATGGAGCAAGGTATTAGGACCCCTATGTCTTGGCCCCGAATCTCACCTAATGGTAACTGTATGCAATTAAGGTTTAAAAAATCATACTTTTTTCCTGCCAATGAAGCTCACAATATTACTTTGCCATGCTTTCTCCAAATTTTCCACGGTGCCTACGTTAAAGGGCGCTCTTTTCCCGTCTCATTGTTAAGGACATTGTGCCTATGGCCGTCAAATGCATTTGAATTGCCCTAAATAGGGGGAGGATGTCTTTTTGCTAATTAACTATGTACTGGAAGCATAAAGCGAGAATTGACGCAGTGGAGGTACAGGCAGTTTGCCCTAGAATCGGCTGGTGATGGAGATGCGTACAGGTTTCAGCAGATTATTGTTCCTGTAACGTGAGCTTGTTTTGACTGAATTCAAGTTGACGTAGGCTTTTACTTTAACAATAGCTTACCTTTCACACTCGTCTGCAATGTCTGTCCATTTCCACTCAAAGAGGTGAGCAATAACCTGCCTGTTTGGAGCAGTGTTAGGGTCCCACTGCGCAGCAGCCGAACAAATGAAAACGAATAACAAAGATAGCATCTTCATGGTAAAAACAGTGTCAGTCGAACTGCAAGATGTTGCACTCAGCGAATTCACCGGACAAACAGTGAAACCCAGGAAGAAATGGAAATTGTAACCCCAACCCCCTCGGCATCAGCAGCGGCAAGCATCATTGAGATATTTCGTGATTTACAAAGCAGCTGTTACCATATCGCGTGTGTTTGTTAATACGTGACAAGAAAAAACAGAAACAATAACCAACTTAAAAAGGTATCCGTTGGGTCGAATTACACAGTGGCGTTTACTTGAATTTGATCGGTTTCCAGAAAAGAGTGTATGCCGTCCAGCATATACAGGATACATGTTTGTTATAGTAATTAACACACACTGGAAACTATGTTTAGCCTCTAAACACTTTCTTGCTGCCAGTTTGGAAACGTGTTTTTCATATTAAACAAATTTGAAGTGGTGATAAATAATATTTAGGCCTACATTATTGGTTACAAATGGATATTCAGTGTTCTTCATTTGACATTTAACGAACTGACATGTCAAGACAGTTGTCACATCACGAGTTTGTGTTTCCCGTGTGTGATGTCACAGTGAATAGTTGGAACTAGGGTGCCACACGACAAGGACACGTCTAGCCACAAAACCATACCCAAAGTTTGCAAATACAATAACAAAATATAATAATTTAATTTAATTCAAAAGGTGATACATGGATATATTTACAATTACCTCCAATCTTAAATTTACATAAACGTTATTCAACAGATATCAGCTATTACAATGGTTCAGCCGACACTATATACTTCTCCCCAGGTGTTAAATGTTGCTGGCCTTCTAGAAAGGGTGCCCCCAGGGCAATGAACAATCACTCAGCACCCGAGTCCTCCATGAGTTGGGGTTGTTCCCAGTCTCAGACTGATCACAGAGAATAAAGGTCCACACATACCTGAGCGTTCCCACAGAATGTGGGGGGGTCCACATAGTGCGGGGGCATTCACAGAGAACGAGTATCCAGCCAGAGTCTGGTGTTCATTCAAAAGAACGAGGGTCCACACAGAGCGGGCGTTCACACAGAGCAAAGGGTTCATGAAGCATGGCGTTCTCACTGAACGAGGCGTCCTACCAAGTATGGCGTTCACACAGAACGAGGCATCCGCCCAAGCATGGCGTTCACACAGAACGAGGCGTCCTACCCAAGCATGGCGTTCACACAGAACGAGGCGTCTTACCCAAGCATGGCGTTCACACAGAACGAGGCGTCCTACCCAAGCATGGCGTTCACACAGAACGAGACGTCCTACCCAAGCATGGCGTTCACATAGAACGAGGCATCCGCCCAAGCATGGTGTTCACACAGAACGAGGCATCCGCCCAGGGCAGACAGGCTCCCTATCAGATTATCCCCCCAAAGCCTTAGCATACATGTACATTTCGATGGCCCAACGGATGAATATTCCCTGTGGGCGGGGTCAAGTGGCTACCACTATGCTGGCCCTACCGGGTAGCCCTTTGGTTAAATAGAGATAAAAAAACATTTTATGTACAAATTCTTTAAAGAACATGGAAACAGTAACTCTGCCTCTATCATAATTTCTTGGGGATGGTTATCATAAGATGCGTATAAACCATGCTTAATTTTACACCTCTCGCTAATATTTGGCACAGTGAGACACACAAAAATACTCCAAACTACTTGCTTATAGAATAATGTAGATAATTTGAAAATAAAAATAAGGTTACACTTACAGTTTTCCAACTGGCAACTGCATGTATCATTCTTGAAAGACGTACATCTGAAATGCACTGTGTTTTATAAGCATTAGCTGTCACACACAGTATATACATGCATGTCTATTCACACAGAAAGCTTGGGTGTGTCTGCCCTCCAATACATACATACACACTGCACTCCCCATTTGAATCAGTGGAGCATACTCAAATTTGCATTTCTAATTTGCATAATAAACTACTTTGAGCTCCACAGAAAACTCTTAATCTGGCTGTTCCATTCTCAAAAACCGGGGGTGAGTTTACATAGGACAATTCAATACTGTACTTGCAGAAAAGAAAACCATTGTGACAACAGTCTTAAAATTTTAAGAGCAAGTTCAGATGGAATTGTCTTAGGATTTCTAGCCTATTTCTGAACAGGTATTATAGTATTAATAACTACATGTCTCACGTTGCTTGTGTGTCATCACTGTAAAGTGCCTTTACAGACATTTTGGAGTTAAGTTTCATCCTTACCCTTCAAGGAGTGTAGTCTTTGGTTTAAGTAGTCAATGAATTATTGTAACAGTCAGCTGGTAGAATGCGTAGTTTCAGAGCGTTCCGTGGCCATTCTTCGTAATTTTAAAGATCAATCAAAATTGTAACTTACAGACTACAATCTCCAATTGAAACGTATTCAAAATGGCATCCTGGGTGTGCACTCCGAGTAATATCTCTTGGTCGTTTCTGTTTTTTCTAGAGCTGATATTACAATACTCTTTTATAATACTGTTACACTTGTATTTTCAAGTATTTCACTATTAGAGGGTGGCCTTATTGATGTTTCTAATAAAAGTATATATACACTTTATTTATTTATTTATTGTTTGCAGACAAAACACAGGTCAGACGGTCACCCACACGAGTGTTTCCTTGTCACTGGTAGCCTTCTATACATTGCATATATTTGTCGACGTGGAAAATTCGGTGAGAAAAAACAGAAAACATCTACTGAGTAAGATTTGTACGAAATCTATAGAGTTGTCAACCAAATTAACCCACCTTAGATTTCATGTAATTTTTCCCAGAAGGTTAAATCAGTGTTTTAATCACCAAACAGGAATGCCCTGCATCAATGTAAAGCTACATAAATGGATGGTTTCACTTACATTATTGTACGGATTAATGTTTGAACAATTTCAAAATACGTGTCCCATAGTTTAATCTAAGAGTGCGTAATAGATAAACTTAAACATTTCGATTATTTTGATATTTCTGACTGTTGATTTCTTTTCTCCAGTCAGCCATCACAGTTCTTGGTATCCTGCATGGTTTCTTTCTGCAAGCCTCTTTTATTTGGATGGCTCTAGCGGGCGCCCTTTTTTACTTGTCATCACCTACAACATCGCGGATCCAACCAGTCTCACTCTTGCTAACAGGCTGGGGTAAACTCGATTGAATAAACTCTCAGACGTGAACTCAATTTGTTGATTTTTCCAAAGACATATATAATACAAAGTCCTTTTTTGTGCAGGGGGCGCTGCAGTAGTGGCCATGACATCGGTTGCTGTGTCTGTCTGTGGTTACGGAACGAGCATAGATGGGTAACTTTCAATTTTTAAATGGAATAAGAATGTAACCTCGAAGTGTTCCATCGTTTTACAAGCTATTCTTGAGACTGGGATGGGGACAACATATTGAAATATCTTCCTGTAACCTTTCAAGCCCCATTTTGAGGAGTAAGGCTATATTTGGAAGCTTTTCCACATGAAGGAAAGGAAGTGAAACAGTGCTCAAAAATGGCTTTCCCGAAATTCTTCTTCTGGAGGACATGGCCTGTTGAAACACTTCGGTCTTCAATGTATTTGAATACGTCGGAGGTCTCACCGTTCTGGATACGATAGATTTTTCTGTAATCAATGTAACTGTAATTATTACAAAACACGGAGAAGAGCGTTATTCCGTATATGTGTACTAACAAATTGCCTCACACACGTAAAAAGCAAACAGGAAAATAATTCAACAACTCTTACAAGTTTTGGAGCACTTTGACAGTTTAAATCGGTTCAACTATTTGGTTTGTTGGGTCTCACCTTTTATCACCGTGCAAAATATTACGTTTTAATTAAATATTTGTGTCTCTCTGAGGGAGAGTGAAGTTACAAGTGAACACTATCGATGTATGTACGAGATGTTAAGCAGAATGACTTTGTCGGTGAGATGGCAAAAAAGATACTTTAAAGTTACTTGTCTTCTTCTTTTTTAAAGTGACAGCTGGATGTCACGAAGATATTCGCTTGGCTGGGAATTTGCTGTTCCAATTTTGTTCATATTTGTGGTATGTACCAGCGGTTTGGTCTTATTTCAGAAGTAACACAAGTAGAATTCATCCATGCTGCAACTGTTTTTCGATATTATGATATTGCAAATGAGTGTTCCCTGTATACGTATCTTGTGGGACTTGTACTATTTAGCATGCACTTTAAGTCTGTTTCAACGTGCTTGTTACGATGACTTACCCTTTTGTTCAATTATATTTGATATGCCACTGTGCAGATGAAACTCTTCATAGGTTGTCGATTGACTTCGAAAATGAGGATGCATTTGAACCTGAATGACAACGAGGCGATACAAATTAGGTATGATTGTGGAAATGCGTTTTGACGGCTTTGACTATATAATCACGATCATATTTTGGGCACTTAGCAGCTATTATTTGAGATTCGACCATGTTGTTCCAAGTATAGGCAATACCTTTTCAGGTTGTATATGAGAAGGCACAACTTAGTGTATATCAAATATATAAAAAAGATACCTGCACCTTAAAAATGATGTCAATCATTTCATTCAAAAGACATTATTCAGTGGTAGAGTGTTTTTGTCTCATGATTTGCAATTTCTGTTTTTGTTTCTCCAGATCGGGACTTGGGTATGTTGTTACTCTGGAGTTCATTGTTTGCTTGTTGTGGGTATTGAGACTCTTTTACTCCACCCAAGGCAACATGTTCTTGGCAAATATAATTGTCACCTTGAATATTTTGCAGGTACTATTTCTACAGAATTTTTCAACCACAAAAAATATATATCTTTGAGCTTATGTTGCTTTTTATTCCAGTATAAGTGTACACTCCATGATGTTGGGCTGCGTTCCTGTTACAGAGATACAGAGAGCTCCCGCTGGAATTTAGGTCACGGTTGTGTCAGATACTGACGTATTAGAGAGGCCAATCTGGGAAATAGCAAACGTTTGTTTTTTTAATTGATTTTTTTAGTTCAAAAGCTCACATAGTGCAATCGTCGCTAGTATTCCTTCGCTCGTGAGCGCTATGAAGTATACTTCATAATACTTGTAGTTAGTAATTATCTTATATTTTGGATTATCTGCACATCATGACAGTGTGCAATGTCTACTGCCAGCCAACTTAGATAATTTTACCTATTAAAATAGAACTTTCTTTGTATTACATGTAGCACTAATGTTTTTCTCTCCTGTAGGTTTTCTTGGTGTTCCATTTGGGCACCGTGGAGGACGATGACGTAAGCTGGTATTCTTCCAAGTTCATTCAGGGAAGAAATGAGGTTTGAATGCAGCTGCATTATCTTTGAATTTCGATGATGATGAGACATAGAAACAGTGTGAGACTTAAAACAACACTGTTCAGAAGTTTCAACAAAGTTCCAATGCATGTCATTGAGGCTACCTATGCTTTAACCTACGACCAAGGATCGGAATCGGGTATCCATTGGGAAATGAAAAGATATCCTGTAAAGGACACAGTCACCTGTACGTTGCATCTGTAACATCGGTCAAATAAACCACAGCCTAAGCCCGCTAATCCAAACCAATTCTTTTTTCAGGCCAGCCATGCTGAGCTCAGTCGATTTGTGACAGGAAAATATATCACTATTTTAACTTGACAAAATCCATTCTTATCTAATCATACTATACTACAAGATGACTTCTAATACTTTTACAGATCCTACAGAAGATTGCTTACACCACTATCGCTGAATAAAAAATCTGCATTTTGTATTATGATTAGCCTATTTACGGAGTATGGCAGTCAAGCAGGAGTAGTTGCAGCTTACATAGAATAGGCCTACATGCGTTTCGGAAGCAGATCGTTTCCCCAAATCGTTTTTGATTCACGGGGTTTATCTTCATAAGTCGTAAAACGTAGTTAACAACAGTAGTTTGTGCAAAGAAAGACACCTCTTAGTTTACGTCAGGCCTGATGTAGAGTTCATGTTATTTCATGTGTGAATAAAATTATTTTATCAAGATGTCTGTTTTCTCCCAGTTTCCTGTTTGTTGGATAGCCTGTTCCCACATGGTGCAACCGCAAGCCTTACCTATTCACTACTTTCCCCATGCATAGCTTCACGGCTAATCTAGCCCGTTTTTATTTTCACTGAAGGCTATATTTTCACTATTAATTTACCAAATCGGCTGGATTTAAATACAGCAATGTCATCCGGTCTCTACTTTTTTCTACTGTTCTTAATCAATTATTAAAGATATAGAAACCGTATTGACTATTGTGTACTTACGCCACTCTGCCTAATGTATTTTACCTAAACGTTATTTGAATTCTTAGGAGAACTAAGTATATACATGCAAAGTAATATCTGACGCAACAAATCACAGTCGATCCCAAAATTGTACAAGCGTCTTTTTTCCTTCGGTATCCTTCATTTTTTTTAGATAAAATATACTGAAATACAGAGGTATTAATTTTATTAGAATAGGCGAATGGAAATATCGTGTCATTGCAACATTTACTGTTCCTTTATAGTTTGTACAAAATAATCTCTGAGTACGCACCTTAAAGTAAATCAGCGAATGAACATGAAGACTGGTGGGCTGTCAAGAAAGTACATTATTTTAGAGAACGTGCACTCATTCAAGTCAGACAATTAAAAAGTGCATGATCAGCATGATTCGTCACGGTATACTGAATAACAACCTACGATAAGAGGGGAAGCTTGGGGCTTTCTATCTTTTTTCATCTTTTGTGGTTCTTTTCCTTTGCTTTCCCCTTCCAATTTTCCCAATTTTTGACAAGCATCTCCTGTTCGAACTCCATTCACATAAATGAATAAAACAATTGATTAATCAAAGGCTACAATTTATTACAAAAAATGAATTACGATAAAAGCTGCATACAGGGGAATCCTCAAAAGTATGCATTTTGAAACAACCATAAAACCATGTAACTTCCTCAAAAATGTGAATAAGTTTTAAACAAATGAGGATACAAAACTTTAAATTCGCAAGAAGCAAATTCTTTCAAACACTAAGCACAGATGTTAGAGTCCAGTTTTGACAGCTAGTCCACTATTATTCATTGGTATTAACGTCCTAACGACTCTATCGTTCACAATCTTACAGAAAGCAAGATATAAGAATGTTGACATTAAAACATGAACAGGTAATAACAACTGATTCCCTATTCCTAAAAAGCTAAATAAAGGTAATGAAACTCGACTTAATTCGTGACTGTTAATGTCTCGTGTCTTCTTACCGGTTTTTGTTTTCTTGATCACAGTTAGATGAATACCTCACTTTCCTCACTGCTGCCTTGAAAAGATTTGTTAAGGTGGTCTTGCGTGTCTGTACCATTCGATCCAGAAAAACCCATCTGTGTACAGAATCGATTAAATGTGATTACGCTTGCTGATAATGACTTTGGAAGTTTGAAAACATCAAAACAAGGCCCCTGTCTTTGAAGAGGTTCCTTCAAACAAGAAAATTTTTCCCCTGTCGGTTATGAACTTTCATCATTAATTTAGTAGTAAGATCACTTTCTGGAGATTAAGGACTGAATATTGAATGCCGAATCATCTTTCATAAGTGAAATAATTCCCTTCCACAAACTAATGTGAAAAATTCATTATTTTTTTTATCCAACTCCGGGAGGAATATTTTAAACATTATGTATTGACCCTACTACTCCCATTTTGCTTTATAACTCTCTTCAATTTTGATAACATTTTTTCCAATTTATGATTTTATTTAATAACGCTCAAACAGAAGCCCCTGTTTGTAATACAGTGTATTCGGTTTCTTTCCAAAAGAGATACAAAAATTACCAATTCCACTATTTTCCTATCTACTACTAGACAAAACTTTTTAGGTAATTGATATCGTTCAACATTTGGTGTTCGTTTGTGGCTAATGCGAGCAAAAATTAAATCTGTACGTACTGTACACATGGAAATGTTGATGCTAATACCAAGTAATCCGTTGCGTGTGATTACCAACCCAATGATCAGATGACGGAGGTTTTTCAGATGTGTTATGTGGGATAATTGATGGATATCTCTCCAGATCGGTTGTACATAGCGAAAGAACGTGTGAACCTTTGCAGGTTTATAAAGACCTGTCTGATACTCCAACCGCACGAGCCTACCCACAAGTGCAGTCTATATTGAGCTACATTTCGTCAAATATTGTTCCCAGATCACAGGTTTTGACTACCTTTAGAAATCTTTACTTCCATTGGACCAGCTTTCCCGAAACCATTTCGTTGAGTTGGGGTTGTATTTTCATCTCTAAGTAAAATTTCTCTTCGTTGAAGACTTCCCAACGTGCGTGTAATTTGCAATAACAATAAGCCAACAAATTAGCAAGTTAACATAGAACAAACTAAACGTCAACAAATATTCAAAGTAACCAGCACACTAACGAAGAAATCCCTCGTCTTTTCTCCGTATTTGTTTGAAATACTGGTCTTTACTTTTGCATACTAAATTCAAACCATTTAAAAGTTATTACGGAAGATCGTGTTGGAAGTCAGGTTTTATTTCCGTCTTCGATGACTATCATATTGACTTGCATCGTGAAAATTAAACAGAAGGCCCTCCTTTCAGTGAATTGTTGTTTGTACCAGAAAGAGTAAGCTGAGCTTTAGTAATATTGTGATGGTATTTCCTTCAGTTTGGCAAACTGCCGTGCTGCTAAAAACACATGTTTGGTGCGCAATTTCCAGATTCCTGCTGCCTACATAAGAAAGCCATATTTGTTTTAAAACTTTAAACAGGAAGGTAGTTTTGGTTACCGGGACTCATTTACTTTCACTGGGTGAAGTACATAATAGATAAGTCTTAATGCCAGGTATTTCATAACAGATGAATTATAATAAAATCAACTATGGAGCTTATGATACTTTATCGACTAGATATCTGACCACCAGTCTCTTGCATACTTCGACATGCTTTCAATTTTTCCAGTCCTGTTCACAATATTATACTTACCTGATTTTCCTCACTGCCGCTTTCAGATGATTCTTTTCCGTGGCCTTCCATGTCTATTGCATCGAAGTCATAAGATTGCTCCGACTGTGCATACAAAATGAATATAATTGGTAATAAAGTAAGCAGCTCATAGACAGAAGTTCAAAATTATACATCTAACAACGAAAAACAAAATAAAATAGTTTTTAAAATGACATTAAGTGATTGCTAGAAATAGATGTTTCCTTTTGCTAACATTAAAAAGAGTTTTCTCCAAGGAGGATCTTGCCAATTATAGGGCCCAACTAGGATGGTGCAGCACCCCGCCTTGCAACTAAAACTTGTGTTTATAAGGCATAGTAAAACATTTTGCGGAAAACAAAATGCCGGGCACTTTGACATTTTTCGCCTCAGTCAACCCCCTTTTCGAAAGTTTACTTGTACCCTCTCTCTAAAACAATTGGTACAGCCTGATGAATCCTACTGGCTTTCAAAATAAAAGAGCGAAAGATCTATGCTTGGTGCGCTTTCGTGAGGATTCGCACCCCCTTCTCAGCAAAAAAGGTCTGGTTACCGACCAGAAATGCGACTCATTTTCACCAAGCAGGTGACAAGAGACAAAATATACCTCTTATTAGCAACTATATATAAGAATAATTGCTGGGTAACAAACAACAATTGGCGAGTGGCCATCACTCTTTGGTATCTTTTGATATGCTGTTAAGTTTTCCTAACTTGAACCCACGAGAGGCCTAATACTAGAGGCCTACCTTGCTTTCCTCACTGCTGCTTTCAGAAGATTCCTTTTCTTGGCCTTCTAATTCTATCTCTATTTCAGGCAAGTCAGAGGAATGCCCCGACTGTATTGAAACAAGATAAGACTGACTAATCAACGTGTTGCTTACTTTGACAGTATTGTAGCGCAAAAGGCTCTTGATGCGACTCAGCAGTGTTAGTGGCTGTTTGCGAAGCGACCCCAGTCGGCGGATTGTTTGCGGTGTCCTTTACTTTTATTCTCCGTCTGTCTGTCCAGTCAGTCCCAACGTCTGTCCCCGAAGTCTGCCCTTAAGTGTCCGTCCTGAATAGTGGCACAGGACACTCCAAACGGACTCACCACCTGGGTTTTATGTACCTGGCTAGCTGCTCGTTTGGGTTCACCAAAGAGTTGGTCGGGAGGCCGGTGCGCCCTTGGCAAAAGCCAGTTGGCGCCACATTATGTCAAGCCATAATTCCATATCGAGGGAACTGTCCTAATTACATACATCATGCAGAGCGTACATTTTCATACATACGATGAGGCTCATCAGTGCAGTGATGAGACCATTTTATGGAAGTGAAAGACCAAATGTATCCCTAAGCATGAAGTCAAATGGGATAGAATTTCAATCTCTCAAACGGATGAAAGTAATTTTTGTTAAAGGGGAAGGATGAAAAAGTGGAGTTTCCTTTATTCAAACGAACGAAGTCGTATTTGTTTAGTCCAAGCTCATTTGAAGTCTCCACCTTTAAAGTCCTTTCTCCAATTTAAAGCACGCCCCTCCCTCCACTGTTGTCTGTTTTATAAGCCAACCATTGTTCAGCATTGGCTAGCAATGCACCCAATCCGACTACCCACCGCTACTTATCCGTATGGTTTGCACACCAAACAGGCCATGCTATATGCATGGCCTATTCGCCAAACTTGTCAGCATGGCATGAAAAGCGCCCCCACTTGCTACACTACAGAGAGCCACTGCTGCTGTGCACAACCTAAAACTTGTCTTGCTTACAAGAGTGGCGAAAGTAGTCCACGGTACGATTCTATGATACCAACCTGCTTAGGGCATAGCATATTTGGTGTGCACCCCTACTAATAAGGGGTTTTCGGATTGGGTGAACAATGAACATCTTCGTGTACACAAACGCTATTACTGATTCCAGCTGTAAATTGAGCAACTCCTATGCTGTGCTCACAGGTTTAATGTATTACGTCACAAAAAGACATGCTGTCATCATCATTGGACTGGAGGCCCCACACAATGTCTTCATATCCTCACAAGTTCAAATGT